TTCAAATAAGTCATTCATCTAAAGACTTATAGTTTCCTATATTAGTTATAAGATGAAATAACGCGCCATCTATACTTAAGAAATAAAACCATTGAGTACGAATGTTTCTTTAACCAATAAAACAAACTTTCTATTTTATCCTTCAAATTTTTAACGTGGCCTTTGCACGCCTATGAAAATGATGAATATTATAATGTAGTTTCCTTTTAACACAATTTATTTTATTGTTCATAAACGAAAAAGTAAAGATTTCGGAGAATCTGCTTAATCTATATCAATTGTGGCACAAGGCACTGAAATATCTTGTCACCACTGATCTAGATTAAGGAATTCTCCAAAGGCTTATCTTTTTCGTTTTGATAAATAAAAGAATATAGAGCAATATAAATTAGAGTTCTTTATAAAAAGTTTTGTAAAGCAATACCTATCTTTTATTTTATGCACTTCAAATATATTTGTTAACATTTTAAAAAATATTTTCAGATTCGTTTTGCAATTCTAATAGATATTTGTGTTGTTAATTATATATAGAAGAAGGGAGGTATATGTTTTCTGAGATTATGAACTAAATTATACGGTGCATCCTGTATGAGGTCAACATTACAATTTTTGCTAGCGTGCTTTAAATGTGGAATATATTTCACCTATTTACAAGAAGTTATGTGATGCCTTCTAGCATAATAAAGTGAGCATCACATGACAAAGTGGGCTCTCCTGGTTATATAGAAATTATTATCAGGTAATGAAGGGGATACAATCTTTTTTTGATGTAAGCCGTTTATTTTTCTTATGGTTTGTTGTCGATTATTCTTTAAAAACATAAGTTACAAATTTTAAATTATGAAAGACTGAGGCTCTTTTAGTCATGTTTTTAAAACTATGTTCCGTACACTTTTAAAAACATTTATTTGTTTTGCGCCTATTATAAAAAAAAAAAAAACATCAATTATATATGAAAATTTCTTCAATTTCATTCATAACCCAGGCTCCAGGAACATATCCATGGATCGCCAAAACTACTATATTTTGATTCTTATCTTTAATTATCATAAATAAATGTTTTCATTTATAAAAAAATTTCAGACATTTATTTTGAAAGCACGTAAGCATTTTTGCTCAATTTTTTCTAAAGAAGATATATTAACTCGAACTCTTATATATATATTAAAAATAAAGAAGGTATTTCCTGACCACGAGCACATGTGCTTTTTAGATCGCAGAGCGCCATCTAGTGGAGCTAGAATAAACTAAACGTTTATTTAACTTGCTCCGTGATATTTGGCCAACCTAATTTATTGATGAATCAAGAAAAGTCAACCACGAACGCATTTCGGGCTGTTAGCCCTTGTCAGCGTGGTGCAGACTGTACCTCTACGACCAAAATTTGGTCCCAGAGGCTTTCTGAGAAATCAAGATATTAATATATATATATATTAAAAATAAAGAAGGCATCTCCTGACCACGAGCACAAGTGCTTTTTAGATGGCAGAGCGCCATCTAGTGGAGCAAAAATAAACTAAACGTTTATTAAGCTTGCTCCGAGATATTTGGCCAACCCAATTTCTTGATAAATCAAGAAAAGCCATCCTCGAACGCGTTTCGCGCTGTTGGCGCTCGTCAGCGTGGAGAAGGCTGTAACCACTGCGACCAAAAAGATTTTTGGTCCCAATGGCTTCCCGAAAAATCAAGAAATGGGTATTTAAGGCCAAATTTGCGTAAAGACGCTTAACACATGAAAAAACAATAGAAAAAATAAATGATAAGTGGGTCAGGTGTTGATATTAAAAATAAAGAAGGCATCTCCTGACCACAGAGAGAGAGTACGAGTAAATATAAGTTGTCATTTTTTTTGTCATATATAAAAATAGTACAATAGCTTATATATAATATGCTACATATATATTCACAACGAGTATATGTCTGCATGTTTATATTACAGTTTTTGAATTAAACTGAGAAGGGCCGTTATTGAGCTATAAAACAATATGCAATGTGTAGGACAATATAATACATAGGGAAAATATAATATCCGGGACAATATAATATCTCTTCATATTGTACCATCCTCGATAAGAATGTAAGCCATCCTGTACACTATTTCACCCTGTACCGAGCATTTCACCTATTCATATCTATCGATTCCAGACCATTCTTGTACATTATCAAGTAGGTCCTTCCTTGGTCAACTCTTCCTTCATTCTTCAAGGTGTTTCCTAAAGTATGGTCAATAGACAGTCTCAAAATGATATTCGGAAGAAATTTACTTTAAACTTCATTCAGAAGGCTATACTCTTTATTATTTATACCCCAAATTTCTTTGTGTTTATCTCATCTGTTCATTTGATCTTGAAATTCTTCTAGAACACTAAATGTCAACAGAGGTTTTTGTCTACACAAGTTCTCTGTTCATTGTCCAAGCTTCACATCTAATTAGGAAAATTGATTTTTCAAACAATTAAGCATCTTATTATTTAGTTTCGTGCTTAAATATCCACTTAAAGGCTTTTTTACTTCTACTAAAAACACACTTGTCTTTTCAATTCTGATCTCGGCTTCTTTTTTGTGTGTTTTCCATACTTATTGTGCTTCAAGATAAGTGAAGCATCTTACTTCATTTAGTTTCAATGACATTAATATTTATTTTAATATTTCAAAATACAAATTTTGAATTTAACTTTGAGTCAGAACAGCAAGCTAATTCTGTATCGAATAATACCGTTAAGAGAATTTCAAAATTTATATAATTTGCTATTTAGTTTTATAAATTTTGAAATTCTCTTAACGGCATTATATATCTTCTATATATATATATATATAAAAATCGATGTTTGTATGTATGTTTGTTTGTATGTCCGGTATACAAATTCGCAGTAGTTCACTAATTCAAACCAAAATTTCCATACATAGGTAAAAAATACGGGGAAGACGATAGGCTATTTTGAAAAATATATAAATCAATTATTAAAACTATATATTCAAATTATTCTACTTAGCTCACGAACAGCGCATCTCTATTAAAGATTAGATTAAATTATGCTGATGCAAACAAATAGATAATGCTGATGCAAACAAATAGATAATGCTAATAACAAACAATTATAAAAAAAAATCTTATCTAAATATATATCACTCGGGTAGATATGCACACGGGTCACCCGTCTAGTATATATATATATATATATATATATATATATTACATTAGCGGTAGTAGGGATGAGAGACTGGTATGTTAGAGGAATCTATTTATCTTGAATGAACCTGAATCCTGCAGGTAACTCAATTTTCTTGTTAATTCTTTTGTTACTTAATATATCAAATTGTTGTATGATTGTTTTATGTTGCAGGTTTATGTTTTGAATGTCTTTAGTTTTAGGTTTATTTTTGCTTGAAGCAATAATGCACTCAGATTTACATTATTAAATATTGTGTTAGCTAGGATGCTGGGCGTTATGGTATTCAAGGAAGTATTTACTCTTGAGCCACCAAAATAAACATTGAGCTTCTTTATGTGCGCTGCCAAGAGACACCAAATAGAGGTATTTAGCATTTTCTCCTACTTGTGCTATCTCGCGGCATTGTGGATCGGCACCTTTTGAATCCGTTGTCTATATTGGGCATCTCTTATCAGAATCAGTGGCTGGAAATATTCTTCATTAGCATGACAAAGGCCGTCCTGTACACACTCTGTTCTCTCGCGGGGCTAAAATAGCCTCTCTGTATGGTAACTCCATCTACAGAACTATCCCCCCAGACTTATAGTAATTTTTGACAATTGAATTTATTTTCTGAGATTTTTTAATTTGAAATCGATAATAATTTTTAGAGTTAGTATAAAAGGATATATACACACACACACGCAGGGATGCGTTTGAAAGAGGGCTATCCTATATCCCACAGATGATTCGTCTTCGCCCTGGTTCACCCTGAGTGACTGTTTTCTCAAACAACACACGGTTTTAAATATATATATTATATAATCTAAAAACTCAAATATTTCTATATTTTAAAAATTATATATATTTTATTTTTATTCATTGATAATTTTACTTTTGTTATCATCGTTTTCAGAATAATTTTCAGTTTTTGTTGTAAATATGCGTAGTTAACATATCTATCTTTTTGAATCACTAATATAGGATTAATTTTATAAATTCTATATAATGTGAAAATAACTAATGTGTAATATTTCCTCAAGTGATTGAAAATAAAAGCTACTTAACGGTAAATAATTGTCTTTTTTTTTTATCACGACTGCACCTTCAACCCGTTATCTTATCGATCCTTTGTCTTATCAACCCTTTATCTAACAACAAACAAATTATTCATAACATATTAACATATATATATATGTAATAATTATTATATATTATTATTACATAGTTATAAAAAAGTTTTATAATATTTTTAAGGAAAGTTATAGAAAATTTCGATGTTGAATTGAGAGTATAATATTTTATTATTATACTAGACGAATGGCCCGGGCAACGCCCGGGTTTTACCCGAGTGCGTATATATTTTAAAAACGTTTTAATTCAAATACTATTCGTTACAATTATAAATTGGCGCCATGGATGTCACTCTTGTGAAACGTCCCGTTCCAAACTGTGTGTTTTTAAAATGTTTTAATTAAAATACTATTCGTTTATACAAATTTATTTTTATTCAAATATTAGTGCTTTATAATGGCTATCTCCTTGATGTTACCAATTTAAAAGTTTATTTTCTAATTTTTGATTGTATAAGAAACATATTTTCATTTAAGTATTGTACTTTATGAACGGAAAAATATGTCCAGGGTAGCCTAGTGGTCATGGCATCTGCCCGGTAAGCGGAAGGTCGTGGGTTCGATTCCCATCCCTTGACACTTTTTTTATTTTATCCATTCTGACCAAAATCTATCCGTGAATTTCACACAGTGAACTTCACACAGACAGAATAAGGCAATTATATAATATGCATAATTATAAAGATAGAAGCTTCTATAGAAATAACTAAAATAAGCCAAAATAGCTCAGTTGGGAGAGCGTTAGACTGAAGATCTAAAGGTCTCTGGTTCGATCCCGGGTTTCGGCATCTTTTTTTAATATTTTAATTTTTAAAACGATGACAGAATTGATGACTGACCAAAATCTATCCGTGAACTTCAGACAGTGAACTTCACACAGACAGAATAAGGCAATTATATAAGTAGATAGTATATAATTAAAATATATCATCTTTCGATAAGATATTTTTATCATTATCATTTTTCTACCCAGAACATGCAATTTAGTCCGAAAGCAGGGTAATTTACATATTCCAGGGTAGAAAATATAACACTGACATCTACAAGATTTAATAAATATAATTTTAAAGTGCCAACGGGCATATCAATCGCTGTGAAAACGTATGTGGAAAAACGAACAGATATTATTTCTTTATTTGGATGGATTATGTTAAGCTCGATAGAGTCGCTCAAGTCACTTCGACAAGATGCAGGTGTGGAAATTTTGAGGATAACTTAGTGAGGAAGCACTGAGAACGAGGGTTGGGACTGTCGCTTATATCAATATTGTTGAGAACCTAAAACATTATTGACAGTGCGATTTTAAAGTGACAACACTAGAATGATCTATAATAACCACATGTTAAATATGTTTAGTCTAATAAAGTGTCAATGCTTATGATTACTTTCATCAGTCACAATAATGCCATTAGAGTTTTATATATTACAAATGTATGTATGCATGTAAATTGATTTAAGAACAAGACCAAATAATTATAGGACGCAAAAATTGAAGTAAACTCTAACCATATGCGATAACTAGAAAAGTATAGGTTTCATTTATCTCTTTAATGTTCCCGAGTTTCAGATTCAGCTTCCACTAAACCTGAAATTAATGAAATCCACTTTATTCAACCAAACTTTTGAATTATTATATTTTATGTTTGAAAGCATTAAGAGTTGCGTAAACTTGTTAAGAGTCATTTCCAATATGTTGTGAAAATATCTTAAACAGATATAGAACACAATCCTGTCACTCTATGTTACCAAATACCGCTGAGCCATAATACAGAGGGGCTGGATCAATACATCGACTCTCTCCGTACAAGAGCCGCATCAATAATAGAAGGAGTAATTTAAGTCAACAATAAGGAGGACATGACGTCGCTGGGCCATTTTCTTAGAACGCCGCTGTTCTCTCTCGCTCCTCAATGTTTTATTCAACAAAACAAAAGTAAACAGATTCTGGCTTCCTATTTGGGCCTCCATTATAGCTTCTTTTTACCAACGCTATCACCAGAACTACTTGTTTGTATTGGTTTCGCAACCCATTGTGTTGATTGCTTCATTGTGATTTTATACATGCTGCTTCTGTTTGGATATATATGGGAAAAATGGTTTATTATTTTTCTATAGAATAAATGTTTTTATAGTGATTTCCATGACTAGAAATTATCTTTAATGATTGATGTTTTAAACGACAGTACATTTAGGAACAACAGTGTTTCTTTAATTGACGAGTTTTTTTAAAAGAAAGATTCAAATATTGACGTATATATTATTTATATCATGATTTTTTACCTTTGCATATTCAAAAGTATATAGCAGCTAATTATTTAACAACAGTTATGTTTTGTATTTAATGTTTCACCTTATAAAAATAACCTTCAAATTTTTAGTTTTTAAAATTTTCAAAAGCTTTTAACAAATTGATTACATATTATAAAGCTTTTCCAGTTAGCAAAATAGTTTTATTTATTTTTGTTTCAAGAAAAAATAGTTATAAATTAATTTATACGCGCGTTATATTGATTTATAATTCATCTATGTCTATAACTGACTATGACTTTCTTGTTTGCGAAAAAGCATTGCTCGATGTAAATATATAGAAGTAATTATACTGTCCTAAAAGCTTATGTCCATAGTTTGATAAAATACCAAAACTAAGATTCAGTCTTTCGTGTCACATATACTGTACAAGCAGAACCGTCCAATATAATATCAGAGCTCTAAAAAGCGGTCTGGTTGATTAAATTGGTGAAACCTCTGGACAGGTTCACCACTGATAAGCCAAGCCATCTATTTTTTTTATCGCAGTAAGGACATTAGAAGTTATTTCGTTTGTAAAAATAAAAAAATCCTTCTACATGGTCCTATTTTTCTTATATATTATAAATAACCATACATATAGACCTATAGATACAAACCATATGCATATAACTCGCATACAGATACACTACATTCACCCACGCATACACATGCTCTAAATGATAGGTGACGAGCTACTGCGGCACGTATATTTTTGCTTTAACTCCAGTAGATTTCAGGATTTGCCATTTTATCTCAATCTAAGATAGCCTTTATTTTTATTAGATTTGACCCTTTGTCTATTGGACTGAAAATGGGCAAAACTCCAAATTTTGCAAATAGTTCGGCAAAAATAAAAGCGTTGCGATTCTATAAACTATTTATCAAACATTAATGATTGTTTAAAAATATTTCAAGTGAATGTGCATAAAACGTTACAAATGCAAAGATGGCCGTTTATGAATACGTCAGAAGACAGTTAGAAGGTGTCTATAACAAGAACATTTCAAGTGTAATCACACTCACTCAACAATTGATAGCGCGGCAACGTTATCACGTGGAAAGGAAACAAGATCTATCGAGTTTCACCTAATCCAAATTCACAACCACAACATTAAAGAAATAAATATTAATAAAAATTTTAGATTAGATTTGTCGATTCAATAGAAAGGAAGAGATAATCAAAGAATGAGCACATGTTTTTGTGAGGTTTTTCTAAAAAACAAAAGAAAAATCGCCCAATAACATTTTACTCTATCAAACCAAAACGCGATAAAGTCGCTTATTTTTAATGTTTTTAGTGATCACGGATGTACTGATGAATTATGTATTCCGCTAGATAAGCCGCACGCCATCTCGTTGGCTTCTTTCTCTGCGTATTGCTCGTCACTGCTCTCGTCCGGATTGCTTCGTCCTGGGCATACATTACCATATTGCAATTATAATCTTAATCACGCCAATATGCAAACATGCGTAGTGTGCTTTATACAGACAAAAATGAATGAGCAAGTATGTCTTGAGCGCTCAAAGGAAAACTTTTAGATACCAGAACGCCACCTATCGGGATAAATAACATCCAAACGTTGATTTAAGTTTATTCCATGGTGTTGGCCTTTCTCCTGATAAATCAAGAAAATTCAATGAAGTAAGCGTTTTAGGCTATTGGCTTTTGTCAACATAGTGCTGGCTGTACATTAAAGACTAAAAAGACGGCTTCTAGAGACTTTCTGAAAATCTATGAATGGGCAGTTAAAGCCAAATTTTCGTGAAAAGGCATGTGGAAAGTAAATATAGGGGAAAAAGAAGAGAGCATCAGGTAGAAAAATTAAAGAATTGACATATCATGACCACTCAAATGAGCAGAAGAGTATGAAACTTAAATATTATGAACATATTACGTATCAGAACAATAATCTGTTGCACATGCGACGGGATGAGAATATTTGAACCGACATATACATCTTCATAGATGAATATTTATCCGGTAGGATATTGATCTATAAAATAGGCTATCTCCCCATCAATATAGATGTTGGATCTAAGCGCTATCTATTGAACTACTCCGCGAACCAGCAGACTCGTGTTGATGGCAAAACATATACACAAGCTTTGACAAACTAAGAAGTCTTACCTGGAGACCATAGGTTCGGGCTAATGGCCCTCATCAGTTCAGGGCTGGCCTTTTTTTCATGATATGCACCTGTGTTCATTAAATCTTCAGAATTTTCCAAAAAGGTGGTCAGCTGGCAAAGTGACTAGGCCAATCTATAGATGCAAATTTTGCCGTCAGGATATTGATCTATGGAATATTAAATGAATAAAAATAGAAATTCTATCAATATTTATTTTTAAGCTATTATTCAGACAATGCAATTCAATTTTTTCTTGCTCTTCAACACAAATACAAATCGAAAAGTGGTGTGTGTTTGAATATTTCTTTTCTGATAATAACCAGGTTAAAAATGAAAGTAGGTTCGGTGGAAAATCTGAGTGAATATTAGATTTATAAGGCGCATTTAAAAAGATAATACATTTAAAAACTATAGCTTGCCACTTCATCATTATATAATAATGTTTGTAATAGATGTGTGCTTAAACAATATAATTAAAGAATATATTCATAATTCTCTGATATATTTAATTGTTATATATATATATATATATATTACATACTCTAAATGCACATTTATTTTCTCATTTTATACGTTATTTACGTTCACTTGATACACAAACTTAATTTACATGTACCTTATTCTCATTATAATAAATAAGCACTGTTATTTTTAAACAATAAATACTTTTTACATTCTTAAAATTACTAATTAAATATATATTTTTTAAAATTGTTAATATTTCGATGAGGGACAGAGAGATTTCTTTATTCATTATAGATTACAAATGTATTTTTGTATAGGAGAAATAAATTTTTACTCTTTATATAGACTACCAATATACAAAAATATTACCAATGATAGTTAAAGATTCAACTATAATTTGTATGAAAGAAAGTTCATAAAACAAACGGACCATAAACCCTTGTTGGCCATCTTAAAAAAAGCCACTAGCGAAATTATCTCCAAGACTTGAAAGACTGGTCTTGAAATTAATGCGGTATATGAATTTGACTTGGAATATGCAACAGGAAAATTAATTCACACCACAGACACCCTGTCTAGGGATTCAATTTCAGAGGAAATCATCGACACCTCAGATCTAGATCTCCAGAACACCATTATGGCTCTATATCTGAAGATGATCACTAAAAGATACCAGGAA